AGCAGCACCAGCTCTGTGTGTGGGTGCCTAGCTTAGAAAATCCAGGCCTGCTTTACATTGCACATCCCTCTCCATGGTCCAGGTGGGTGAGGGTCACCCATCCAAACTCTCACATCCTTAACTTGGCTGTTTCCCCAGGACAACACCAAAAGTGATCGCCGGGCTGGAGGATCCATCCAGAAATGTTTGCTGGATTGAAATGATATTGTTCTTTGAAACAGAAACAGCAGAACCCCTTTCTTTCATGACGCTCATTGCCATTGCTCATTAGCTGTTGCAGCTAATTACCGCCCGCTCGCTGGGCTGCGAGTTTAATACCGGCGTTTTGGGAAGCTCCGCAAACACCCCACGCGGTTTGCGCACTCCAGCTGTGCCGCTGCTGCCGGGATCGCTGCGGGATCGCTGCGGGATCGGGGCCGGGATCGCTGCGGGATCCGGGATCGCTGCGGGATCGCTGCGGGATCGGGGCCGGGATGCGGCGGCGCGGAGCCCCCTCTGCCGGCGGCTGCCGGACCTGCCGGGCTCGGTGGCCCCGGGGCTCGGGGCGAGCGGCGCCCCCGAACACCGACCCCGGACACAGACCCCGACCCCAAACACCGATCCCGGACACAGACCCCAGATACCGACCCCGAACACCGACCCCGGACACAGACCCCGAGCACCGACCCCGAGCACCGACCCCAAGCACAGAGCCCGGACACCGACCCGCGGGCGGGGGAACAGAGCGATCCCGAGGGTTCGTCTGCGCAGCAGAGCCCGCTCGGACCAAAGCGCTCGGCAGCTGTCGTGTCCAGGGTTCATCACTTGGCACGGGTTTTGGTGCAGGTAAAGGGTGACTCGAAGCCACGCAGAGGCCAATCCAGTTCTCCGTGGACAAGACTCTGGTTTCTCTGCGTATTTTGTGGATTAAATTCTCTCGTTCCGAGCAGATATTTTTTCACAGACCATCATTTGCAGCGGGCTGGGATGATGTGTTCAGTGTTCATGTCTGGGTCAGCCATTGCTCCAAACCTGGGAGACCTCAGCATGCAGCCTATGGACTTTGGATGGACCTTTCCCTCCGCCTGTTCCTCAGCAGTTCCAGCAGCACGTTCTGCAGCTGACTGCAGTCCATTCCCGCGGCACGGAGGTTCCCTGCACCGTGTCAAACAACACAGGGTCAGGTTCTTACCCGCTGAGAGACCAGCACGGCTGATACCACCTGGCACTTCCACATGGGCCCCATCCAGAACTCAAACCCGGACCTGAGCACATGCTTGGGTTGCACATGTGAAGACCACAGGATTCTGCAGCGTGCCCTGAAAAGCCAGCCCGAGGTGTGAGCCCCAGGAGCCCAACAAGCGTTTGGGAATCCCAGGGGAGCTCTTCAGTCACGTTCCCTGGGCCCATCTCTCTAAGGCTCGTCTGTAGCAGCATGTGCCCTCCTAGTAGAAATATAATGAATTATGAATTACTGGCATAAGAAAAACTGTCCTTATGTCATGCTGAAGTTACTGGACCAGTACAGGGATTAGTGGGTAAAACCAGGAGGAACCTGGAGAGTTAGAGGCCTTGTGATTCCAGTGTCGGCATTCCCGGCACTGCCCGAGGGGGGGTGTCAGGTGCTGCTGCAGAGAAACGGGAGTTTTCAGCCATATCAGCAGATCTGTGGGACCCATTCATCACACACGTCCTGCTTAACCACTCTCCATGATTAAATATTTACAATAAGAATTTCTTCATCATTAAAACCCTAAATAAAAGGATTACAGAGAAAGTCAGAATAGTTCAGTAGGAAACAGCACTAATTATTTTCACCCTTGTGGGTTGTTTTTTTTTTACTTGAATTTCAAAATGAAAATATTGAGATAAACTCCCGCTTTCATGTTAGCACAGTTGGGGGGATTTCTTATTTGGTGTGAAGCTTGAAAAGGGAAAATTAACACTCATTTAATCATTTACATTCAGTCATAATTTAGGCCCTGAGCAACAAAGCATTTAAGCAGGAGATACAAATTTAGGTAGTCACGTATTCCAGTGACTCCAGATGGATTATTCAGTGGCCTGAAGTGAAAAGTTGTTTATTCAGAGTAGGGGAAGTGCAAAATTCCCATGTGCTGGAAGCCGAGTCGTGGATCCCAACTGGGGCAGACGGATACTGGGAGTTTTTGATCCGGGGTACAGAACACAGAGCTCAGTCCCCACACGGCCACCAGCGCTGGTGGGGATCCCTGGTTCACAGGGACTTTGTGACCTACAGTCAGGAAATGAATGAGAGTCATTTCTGAGCTGGGGAAAAGTCACAGAGATGAATATTGCCAGAAAGCTGAACCCACTGCCGCTCGAGGGCCGCAGAAATCCCGAGGATGGTTGGAGCACGGAGGAGCTGTTTGCTGCACAGCCAGAAAGGAAACAAGCAGGAGAGCAGGAAGGGATTGTCAGGTCTCCAGCACTATTGCAGTTATTCTTCCACATCTGCACAGCTGAAGTGGGTTTTGCTTAAACATCCATCACGTCCCTATTATAGGATATGTGTAGGATATTAGGTGATCCTTGGGGCATTGTAAGACAGGGTCATCCTCAAATGGCAATTTTCATCTCCTTTCAAATCTTGTCTGTTTTTTGGGGGGAGAAGGGCAGATATAAGGAAAGATTATGAGTGCCATAACCACTGCTGGTTTTTCCTGCACTGTCTATATATGAATATCATCATCATCATTTTATATAAATAAATCTAAGCCCATTCAAACTTTATAAAATGCCATCAATAACCCTGAAAACAAAGAAAGGCATTTACTGAGTACAACAGCCCAGCTCTGTGATTAAGGTACTATCCAAATTCACCGCTTGGAGTGTTTCAGAGGGATTTCCTTTGGGCTCAACTACAGCCACAAAATAGTAGAGATCAATATCTGTACCATCTGAGTATCATCCAATGCCATCTAAAGGACTGACTAAACAGGAAATAATACACAGATAAGAAGATAAAATGCCCTTGGCATTTCCTCAAAACAGGTAAAAAGACTCACCTCTCAACCTATATATGCTCGTGAGGAGACAAAAGGTATGAATTCTTATAAGTTACATCTAATCTTTAGAAAAGATGAAAAAAACATTAGTCAGGATTTGACTGAAAGTTTTAGAACCACAGATGGAAACTGAAGAGGCTCCTGGCCCCCCAGCACAGGGCTGGACATGGGCAGCTCCAGCAGTGCCACCAGAGTGCCACCTGCAGTGCCATCTGCTCAGGAGCCACAGGAGCCTGCTCTCCCTGGGAAGCGACTCCTGCCTGTGGGTTGTTGTCAGGAGTAGCCCAGGTGAGGAAGAGCAGTGTAACCCCGAGCAGAGTCCCCAAGGCTGGGCAGCCTGAGGGGAAGGACAGCTCTGACTTCAGAGCCAGCCCCTCTGCCCCTCGGTGCCCCCAGCCCCTGAGGGCTGTGTCTGCCAGGGTTGTGGAGGTAGCCCAGTGCCTGCTCTTCCCTCATGTGGGCTTAACAGGATAGAAATTGGACCTCTTGGTACTTCTGGCACATATGCAAAGTTTTAAATGCTGTCCCTAAAATGTTCACGAAGTCAACCCAGGCAATCTAAGTGTTCTGGTTTATCGCTGTCCCCAGTAACAGGGTCAAATGATTCAGCAAAAACCTCTCCATGTAATCCTACAGAGGTAGATGAATACACAGTTGATGGATTTTGGATGTGTACCCAAGCTGCTGCATTGGCCAGGTCCAAAAACTTGCAATAAATAAATTTAATCAGGAAATATCACTCTGATATGAATGTTTAATGGCACTGATTTATACTTTGAGCTGCCAAAGCCAGGAGCCAGCTTAGCAGTTGAGAGCCCACAGAGCTCAAGGTTTCAAAACAAGCAACTCTCCTTGGAGATTAGAGTGTTGCAAAAGATGCAAGCAGGCAGGAAAAGGAATGTTTTGCCTCCTGCTAAAGCGTTAACCCAGTACAGGACTAAGCTATTCAAATGTACCTGAAAAACGTTTCTTTCAAAAGCTGTGTTTGATCAAGTACCCTCCATTGGAGCACTGCCTCTTGTATGGCCCATATACTCCTCTAGTGACTCCTTTTTTCTTTCTGTTGTTTTGTCTCACCCACTCAAACCCGAGCAGGGGTTGTTGCTCTGCAGGGGCACAGAGCCAGGAGGTCTCTGCTGGGCTGTAACGTCCCGGGCAGGTCCTGTGGTAAGCAGTGCAGTTTGTACAGCAGGTTTGATGGCAGAATAGCAATTCCTTCTTCAGTCTGAGTCCGTCTGCAGAGCACAGTAAGCCCAAGTGGTCTGTAGGATTACACACAGAGAGAGGTGGTTGGAGAAGGAACAAACAGGCTCCCCAGGGCAGTGGTCACAGCACTGACAGAGTTCAAGAAGCATTTGGATGATACTCTCAGGCACTGCAGGGCTAAGGTATGGACTCCATGACCCTTGTGGGTCCCTTCCAGCTCAGGATATTCTGTGGTTCTGTGATTCTGTAGGTCTGTGGCTCTGTGATCAGATAAGCACTGCAAATGTCACTGTACCTGGCTGGAAGGTGATCTCCCCCAGCCACACATCACATCACCTTGTTGTGGGGATGTCCTGCCTTTTGAAGTGCCAGCTGCCCAGTGCAAGCCCTGCAGAGTGACAGTCCTGCAGCAGGCACAGCACAGCCAGCACAGGGGCTCTGCTGCTGCTCTCCAGCTGTGTTTGCCAGGTGCTGAGCCATCCTTGCCTCCTCTGCTGGGATCAGACAAGCATGATTTTTGGATGTAACATATACATGCACACACAACACATGCAAATTATACCTGAACACATCCAGGTTACAAAGGGAAGAACTTGTGAGATGTCAGGTTTGGTCTGCCCCAAAGAGCTCTGTGTGAGCTCCCTAAGGCCACGTGCATTGTGTGATTCACGGTGCTGTTCCACAGGCTGAGCTCAGCACACAGCCCGGGCAGTGCTCTGGGGAACCAGGCTGGCTGATGGAAGCCATTCCTGCTGCTAAAACTTCTTCATTCATTGCAGGGAGGAATGAGTGAGGTGGTTTGCAGAGAAGACGGATGAGTGGAAAGCAGCTGAGAAATTCCGTGAGAAATGAAGCTCGTCCCTCCATGAGCTACTCCTGCCTGAAGGTACCAGGTGAGTTACTGTGGCCAGGCTTTATCCACATCTACATCTTATCTACCTCTTCTGCTCATGCATGGTGATGATACCCTCATTATGTGGTGAGGAATTCAGATAACACAGGAATGAGTTCATGGCAAAGCCCAGGAGGAAATGACTCCTTCCATGTGCAGAGGAGGATCTGATGAGCGTGCAGTACGTGAGGCCACCAGCCACACGCTGAGCAAGGACAAGATATCACCCTGACTGGGGAACAGGAGCACTTTAGAGTCAGCCCCAAGCTCCACAAGCCAGTACGGCCCAGCTCATGAGGGTTTGGGTTTGTCACCTTCCAAGGCCATTCCTCAGGGTAGTTTTTGAGTTGTGAATTCCTTAATGTTTTTAAGTAGAATAAAAATTCTCACATGAAAATTGGGTTTTTTCCAATCCCATTCCTTCCACAAGAATAATTGGTTTTTCTAATCAGTTTCTTTCCCTTTTCTTCAGTGTCTTGAAGTCAATCAGAGACAGATATTTGGAATGGAAAATTTCTGTGTGGATAATTGAAGTTCAATTTAGTTTCACACGCTAATGACAAAGGGGCTCTACAAAGGAAAACGTTGCTCAGGTTACGCATAAGTGCTGCACTGGAAGGTGTTTCCAAAGGAGCGGCGCTGACCTTTCCCAACGTGCTCCCTTCTTTCCTCGCCTTTATCCACAGAAAGGGCTTGGCCGTTCCCTCCCGTGCAGCCGCCCACCAGGTGCGGCACAGGACACGCCAGAGCTCCCAGTCACACGCACCCACAGCCTGTGGCTCGGGGCAGCTCGGGACGGTTCTGCAGGAACGGGACAGAACTCGGGAGCCCTGCGGGGGCAGAGCCGGGCCGAGCCCCGAGAGCAGGGATATCCGAGCGCGGTGCCGGGCGGGC